TATAACTCCACTGTCGAGAGATGATACTCGTCAAGCCGCAGCCAGCCCTGTCGGCAGGCGCTGTGTCAGCCTCGTGTCACAAGCTTCAGTGAGCAGCCTGCACAAAGAAGATGTCACTTTGACTGCTAGCTCTCTCACTGCAGTCTGGTGTATGATGTTACGACTCCCAGATGTTTCGCCCAGTCGTCTCTGCCACGACTCGCTCCACAACTCGCTCCACGCTCGCCGGCAGTGATAGCCCAGCGACAGTACCAGTCGAGAAGTGTCCTCCTGAGTCGCTTGCCATAAGTCCTGCCCAGTTGCCGAGTTTTGTCGACGCCTCACTCGAGGGCACCAGCATGTCGTGCCCCAGGTTGAGTGAAAACCTGCAGCGACTCCTACGATGTCTGCTTCACCGTTCCAGAGGAGACCGTACCCTGTTACGTCACAGCTCAGCCGCAGCGATGTCTCCCGTGTTGCAGTATCTGTCCAGACGCAGGAAGGCGTGCAGTGATACTCATCGACGCTCACTGCCTTTGACCACGATGTTTAGCACACCCCACATGTTTTTTTCTTCCCTCCCTGTAGGAAGTTTTTTTTTTCCATGTCCATATGTATATATATGTTTTTATTTTGTGTTCTGTGCCCTGTTCCTACGAGAGAGAGAGACCGAGTTTCTTTTACTACCAGTATTGTCGCGTCGGGACGACGCGCGGTAGGTGGCCGAGCGTATGTAGACAGCCTGTACTGTCTGCACAGACAGCCCATGCTGTCTGCCAGCTTAGTTCATATTTCGCGCTATGCTGGTGCTGCCATCTATAGGCCTTGCCACTTCAGTATGCCCAGACTTGCCTCACCCTCACTCCTGGATCGACCGACTTGACGTACACAAGTACTCCCCCTCCACGGACTGGCTTGCGGTCACTCCCTCACACTGCCCGTTGTGTACTCACTCCTACCCGATTAAAGCCAATCTAGTCCACGGCCGTATCATTGCTACCTACGCTACCTTCATCGGCACTAAACCGCTGTTCAACAGTAAGAACAGCAATAACATGTCCAGTGATTGTAAATATGTAAATATATGATAGAACATTAGTATTATACAAGATTTGTGCATGTTTATTGTAATAAACAACAGTGGTAAACAATAATATGATAATAACTTTAGTGCGGTTATTGTGTTCAATACAGTGAGTTTATATATATACATTATATACAATATTGGTCTCTCAGGCCCCAAATGTTAGTAGGAATAGAAAAAAATTGGAAAGAAATGAAAAAACAAACAAAAAACCGCAAAATAATGTAATGCGTGTATGTGGAATTCGTCGATGTTGCCGCCACCACATCATTTTCGACAAACTTCTTGGCACTGTATCTCGGTAAGTACTGATCAGAATTTTTTTTTTTTGTCTTATTACCTTCACAAAAATATGCTCTTTAATTCTGTAAGAAAAAATAATTTTTTTTTTTTTCAAAATTTCTTGGACACTGGAGCACCACTTCAGATTTTGGCCTTGGACCCTGAAGGGGTTAATCATGTCCTCAGGCCTTTCCTATCTTACACCTGACATCTACTTTGAATTCATCATCACAAAAAACTAAGTTTTACCATATTTCTCGGATAACAAAATGTAACCTTTACATGCTCTGCATATAAAGGGGCTTTTGGCATGTTCACCCAACTGTTACACTCCTTTGTACAAACATATATTATGCTAAATTTATTATTATTATTATTATTATTATTATTATTATTATTATTATTATTATAACCAAGAATAATTAAGCATAGTGCAGGGTGTCCCAATAACTGAAGCAGAACTAGTAAAAACCCATAAAATAGACTAGGGGGAGTAGGGAGGCATTACCTGTCCTCAGAAAAATTGGTAAAAATCAAATATTTCCACTTCTTTGAGCTTAATTTCAAACTACATACTTCTAATCCTGAAACCAAATAAAATCATCTCTATTTCAGTGCTACATCTTCTATTCTATCATGTCATATCAAGAAACAGCCAATAAAACCATAAGAACCATCTGAGAAAACACCTCAAAGCAGCTACATATTTAACCAAACACAAGGTCTGAGTTTTGCTTTTCCCATCGTGCACCACGTTCGCAGTATTCTTCTTATACTGTGTATACTCACCACACAAACCCATTCTCTCATATCTAGGTGAAAATTTGCCACTCCAAGCTTATCTGAGGGAGATGTGCTCAAAAACGCAGATCTATGTGAGGGACCCTGGCATCAATAACGAAGAACTACGTGACAGCAACTCAAAGGGTTAGTGGCACACGTGTCTATTTCCATCATATTTCAAAATTCAAATTCAAAATTTTTATTTCTTTGTGTAGTACACAATGTGTAGTTTACATGTAATAAAATATTGTTAAGCACAAAGAAAGCCACTAACATGCATGAGCACTTCGGGCAAACTGATGGTAATGATTACAGCCTAGTACTTAAATCAGACATAGGTTACTTAGTAGTAAATTTAAATTATGTATTATTATAAGAGAGGATAAAAATTTTTATAATTAATAAAATTTATAGTAGGGAGGTAGCAAAATAATAAACTTCAATTAGTACAAATTACAATACTGGTAAATTTTAAGTTTATTAATACTTTAAGTTGACTGAGTGATCTTAAGTTAACTGAGATTTCTTGAGTAGCTTCCACAGGGTGAGACAGACACAAAGGATGTTGAAGAGTTTTATGCCTTGTGTTGTGCCTGTGTGGTCTGTTGCAGCTATCAAGGAGAAGTTTGAGTGGAGGGTTTATACTGGAGTATAATGTTCAATGTATATACAGTGGACCCCCGGATATCGGCTGGTGCAAAAATCGGCCAATTCAGAAATCGAGCACTTTTTTCAGCAAAATTTTCCCCTGGATTTCAGCCATCTGCTCAGAAATTGTTGGTGTGAGATGCGTCCACCTGCCGGTGACACACTTCCTCACGCATATCACACCAAAATTTTCCCCTGGATTTCAGCCATCTGCTCAGAAATTGTTGGTGTGAGATGCGTCCACCTGCCGGTGACACACTTCCTCACGCATATCACACTCAGTCTGTGCATCTCTCTTGTTGGGTTAGGAAATCTCCATGCGTTCAGCCACTGTTTTTGGTGCTTGTTTATTGATTGCAAATGTGAAATAAGCCACCATGGGGCCAAAGAAAGTTCAGAGTGCCAGCTCTTTGATAAAGAAGGTGAGAAACACAACAGAATTTAAGAAAGAAGTTATAGCAAAATATGAAAGTGGCGAACGTGTGGCGGAGCTGGTGAGGATGTATGGGAAGTCGACATCAACAATCAGTTCCATCCTGGTGAAGAAAGGAGAAACCAAGGAAGCTGATGTTGCGAAAGAAGTAAATATGTTAATGAAACAGAGATTGCAAGCAATTGAGGATGTGGAGAAGTTGTTGTTGGTGTGGATCAACCAAAAACAGCTAATGGGAGAGTGTGTTTCGTAAGGGATAATTAGCGAGAAGACAAGACAGTTGCATGTGGATCTTGTAAAGAAAATGCAGGGAACAAATGCTGCTGTTAGTGAATTTAAGGCCAGCAAAGGCTGGTTCGACAGATTCAAAAAGCGTAGTGGCATACACAGTGTTGTAAGGCATGGCAAGGCTGGAAGTTCTGACAAACATGCAGCCGAAGCATTTGTTGATGAATTCAATGGATATGTAGAGGCTGAAGGATTCCTTCCCCAACAAGTGTTCAATTGTGATGAAACCGGCCTCTTTTGGAAGAAAATGCCAAAGAGGATCTACATCACACAGAAGGAAAAGGCACTGCCAGGACACAAGCCTATGAAGAATAGGCTAACTCTTGTTCTGTGGTAACGCTAATGGGGAGTTCAAAGTGAAGCCTTTACTTGTGCATCACTCTGAAAATCCCAGTATGTTCAAGAAAAACAATGTCATGAAGAGCAAATTGTGTGTGATGTGGAAGGCTAACAATAAGTCATGGGTCACAAGGCTAATTTTCATTGAGTGGGTCAATGAAGTGTTTAGCCCGAGTGTGAAGAAATACCTCCTGGAAAATGAATTGCCACTTAAGTGCCTCCTGGTAATGGACAATGTTCCTGCTCATCCTCCAGACTTGAAAGACCTATTGTTTGAGGAGTGTAATTCATCACAGTGAAGTTCTTGACCCCTAATACCACTCCTCTCATCCAGCCCATGGACAAGCAGGTCATTTCCAACTTCAAAAAATTCTACACCAAAGCAATGTTTCAAAGGTGCTTTGAAGTGACCTCAGACACTGAACTGATCCTAAAAGAGTTCTGGAGGAATCACTTCAATATCCTCCATTGCATAAGCCTTATAGATAAGGCTTTGCAGGGAGTGACTTCCAGGACTTTGAACTCTGCTTTAAGAAAAAACTGTGGACATAATGTGTCCTCAACAAGGATTTTGAAGGGTTTGAGGCTGGCCCTGACAACCCTATGCCTATTGTGGAATCTACTGTGTCTTTGGGGAAGTCCATGGGGTTGGATGTGAGTGGCAAGGATGTGGAAGAGTTGGTAGACGACCACAGGGAAGAGCTAACCACTGAAGAGCTGCAACACCTTCAACAGGAACAGCAACAGACAGCAGCTGAGGATATTGCTTCAGAGATGATAAAAACAGGCCTCTCTGGATAGATTTTTTGTGAGACAGGGATGCAGTGACTCTCAAGCTGGTCCTAGTGGCAGTAAAAGACAAAGAAGGGAAATAACCCCAGAGAGGGCTTTGATACCTTAAGTCCTTATGGAGGGAGGATTCCCTTTCCAAAGACTAACCTCTCCTCCCTCTCCCTCCTCACCTTCTTCTTCCATATGCCAACAAGTCTTCAATAAAGGTATGTAATGTTCATTCATTATTAAAATTGCTGCTTTATATTTCTTTCTCACTGTTTTCTGAATGTAAAACTATAAGTATTCTTTAAAAAATGTATTTTTTGTTAATATTTTTGGGTGTCTGGAGCGGATTAATTAGATTCACATTATTCTTATGGGAAATATTACTTTGGCTTTCGGCCAATAACTGGGGGTCCACTGCAGTAGGCACAGTAATACGAGTGCATTTTTTTTATATTAAGTTCAAACTCATGAAGAGCAGATGGGTACAGGAGTTGGTGATCATCCACACAGCAGCCTGTTGGGTTATTAATAGTTTAAGGTGATTTGTCATAGTAGACCCCAAGCACAAATACTATAGGTGAGGCATGGGTACATTAAATAGTGGTATAGTGTACATAGTGCCATTTGGGGTTTGTACATTATGCCTTATTAGTTTATGAGTGGTTATATCATATATTACCTGGAGTTTACCTAGAGAGGGTTTCAGGGGTCAATGCCCCTGCAGCTTGATCTGAGACCAGGCCTTTTGGTGGATCAGGGTCTGATCAACCAGGCTGTTACTGCTGGATGCACACAAACTGACTTACAAACCACAGCTTGGTCAGTCAGGTATACTGACTTTAGGTGCCTGTCCAGTACCTTCTTGAAGACAGCCAGGGGTCTACTGGTAATCCCCCTTACGTATGCTGGGAAACAGCCGAACAGTCTCGGGCCCTGGACACTTATTGTGTTCTCTCAGTATACTCGTGGCACCCCTGCTTTTCATTGGGGAATGATGCATCTCCTGCCGTCTTTTGTTTTCATAGGGAGTGATTTTCTTGTGCAAGTTTGGTACTAATCCCTTTAGGATTTTCCAAGTGTATATTATCATGTATCTCTGTCACCTGCGCTTCAGGGAATACAGATCAAGGGCTTTCAACCGTTCCCAGTAATTTAGGTGCCTTATCGTATTTATGTGTGCCATGAAAGTTCTTTGTACACTCTCCAGGTCAGCAATTTCCCCTGCCTTGAAGAGGGCAGTTAGTGTACAGCAGCATTCCAGCCTAGAGAGAACAAGTGATTTGAAGAGAATCATCATGGGCTTGGCATCCCTAGTTTCAAAGGTTCTCATTATCCATCATATTTTCCTAGCAGATGCGGTAGATACACTGTTGTGGTCTTTGAAGGTGAGATCCTCTGACATTATCACTCCCAGGTCCTTCACATTACTTTTTCGCTCCATTGTATGGTTAGAATATGTCGTATACCCTGATACAGTTTTAATTTCCTCAAGTTTTCCATATCTGAGTAGTTGAAATTTCCCTTCATTGAACTTCATATTGTTTTGAGTGGCCCATTTGAAGATATGGTTGATGTCCGCCTGGAGTCTCGCAGTGTCTTCGATGGAGGTCACTGTCATGGCAATCCGGGTGTCATCTGCAAAGGAAGACACAGAACTATGGCTTACATCTGTGTCTATGTCAGATATGAGGATGAGGAATAGAATGGGAGTACTATGCCTTGTGGAACAGAGCTTTTCACTGTAGCTGCCCCAGACTTTACTCTGTTTACTATTACTCTTTGTGTTCTATTTGTCAGGAAGTTATAGATCCATCTACCAACTTTTCCTGTAATTCCTTTATCACGCATTTTATGTGCTGTTACACCATGGTCACACTTGTCGAAAGCTTTTGCAAAGTCTGTGTATACTACATCTGTATTTTGTGTATCCTCTACAGCAGTGGTTCCCAAACTTTTTCAGCTTGTTACCCAATTTAACATGCCACATAAAGCATGTTACCCCTTTCACAAAATGTTGTTATTATTGATATATATGGCTAAATTAAAACACTTGAGATATTTTCTTTTATTTATTGTATTTGAACATTGTGCATTTCTAATGACTATTACCCAAGATGTCAAGAACATCAGTGGGATGGATGGAGTTGCACACTTGAAGCTAGTTTAGGAATTCTTGGCTTCGTGGTTGAAAGTGCCAGCCTGGCATCGTTTGCAACATTCAAGCGAGTCCTCTTTTTTGTTTTCATACCCAGCACAGTTGAGAAGCCCTTCTCGCACAGATACGTTGTTGAGAATGATACCAACAACTTCAAGGCTCTCTTGGACAGAGTTGGCGAGTCAGGTAGTCGTGAAATCCAAAAGGAATCTGCATTTTGGTTTTGGAATTCGATTTTCAAGGCTTCATTGGCTCGCATTGTGATCCACTCCTCCTTTGCAGGGAAATCATCATCATGAATGGCATCATCAGGTACAGAGAAGGGATGAATGATCCACTGAAGAGTGGCTGTTTCTTGGTCACTCTCTGGAAAGTAGTGATGCATGCTTGTTTCAAGCCCCTTCAAATGGTCGCTCATTTCTTTGTTGATGGTCTGTAGAAGTGATCCAGTATCATGACTATTCTCCTCAACAAAACTGGTCTAGGGTGGGAAACTGGGCGATCACTCCTTTCTCCAAGCGCCGAATCCAGAGTCTCAGTTTCCCCAGAAATGCAGTCACACGTGTGATGGGCATCAATGACAGTCGTGTTTCGGCCCTGGAGTTGCAGATTACCACTGTTCAGCTCCGCAAATATGTCAGCCAAGTAACAAAGTCGAGCAAGCCACTCCTTATCGGTGAACTTGGTAGCAAAAGGAGATCCTTTTCGTTCCAGGAATTCCTGAACAGCTTTTCGGAGCTCAATGACTCGACGTACAACCTTGCCTCGTGACAACCAGCGAACATCGGTGTGGTAGAGCAGAACTTGATACTGCTCTCCCATTTCCTTGCACAGCTCCTTGAATATGCGCGAATTCACATCTCTGGACTTGATGAAGTTGACGATTTTCAACACATCTTCAAACACTAACTTCAGATTACCAGGCAGGCTTTTCGATCCAAGAGAGTACCGATGAATGATGCAGTGATCTACAGAAATTTCTGGATTGATAGCTTGTATGAGGCCCAGTAATCCACGATGACCACCCATCATCGACGGTGCTCCATCGACGGAGACCTGGAATAAAAAGAAAAATTATTATAGACTGCGTCAGTTAGTCATTGTTACTTATCTTTTGCGTTATAATTATATGGTTTTAATTAATTATTTCGGTACTTGAGTATTTCAGTACGACAGGCACGATATTTTTTGTGTGAATCATGTACAAAATATTAGCTACACTACAGTTACTTGTACAATAAATAAAACTGTATATGACTATATGCCGTGTAATTCATTGTATTTATACTAATTTAGACTTTATATAAACATCGTTTCCTACCTGTTGAACGCTGTTCCAATCCAATCCATTCTTGGTAAAGAAACTGTTGATGATATTGAAGACATCTTCTCCCTTTGTGGTTGTCAGCAGATCCTCGCATAATAGGAACTCTTCTTTGATCTTGTTCTGGTGGACGTAACGGACGAACCCAAGGAGAACAGCACAACTGGCTATGTCACACGATTCATCAAATTGCAAGGAGAATTTGCCATATGAGCTTTCCTTGATCTCTGTTGTAACTTGGGACAGGATATCTGATGCCATGTCATCGACTCGTTGGCGGATGGTGTTGTTTGATAGAGATATGACACTCAGTTTCTTCGCTTGATCCTCCCCACATACCTTGCTTACCATCTCATATGCACAAGGCATAATCAGATTCTCTGCAATGGTGTGGCACTTCTGTTGTTCGGCAATTTTATATGCAACACAGTAAGATGCTTCGACCGCAGCTTGAAGCTTTTGGGCTTGAATTCCAGATGAGCCGAACTGGATATTCTTCAGTGCTACAGCCTGGCGCTGAAAATAAGCCTGATCCTTATTTTGAAGATTTGGATGGCACTTCTGGAGGTGAGCTGAGAGTTTTGATGGCTTGAGGCTTTCATTTGTCAACACTTTGTGACATGCCACACATTGTGGCGATCCTCTCCACCAGAAGTTAAATTCACAAAGCCATGGCAAAGAAAGGCGTCAGTGTAGGTGCGCTTTTTGGACATTTTCTTGTTCAATCTGCAGAAAAAGAAGAATATCCATGCATACACTGCAAAACGCAAGGTACATAATTTCTCGCATGGCAGCTAACACAAGTTCACTGATGCAAGCACACACGCATACATTCAAAATTGTCAGGCTGCAAGTATCATGCTTGTCAGCACAAGAGCACCGTGTAGCGCGAGACTACAGTGAACGTATACAGCCTCGCATACTCTGCTAATCCTAGCAAAACCATTGAAAAACGTAAGAACCACACATACATTATATATAAAATTAATAATAGCTACAAATTCACAGTAACAGTGGGTAAATATAACTATATACTGCACAGGGCAGTACACATACATACCAGCTTATGTCTACCTCGGCTGATGCTCACAGATAAACTGACAGTGTGAAATAGAGGCAGCCTCAGGAAGTGAGTGACGCGTACTGGACAAGTCGATCTGGGCTACTGAGTGACTTTTGTCCTGAAGCATACTTGTCAAAATACTTTTGGGTTTCCACACACTTAGCTATATATTTCTTCTTTTCTAATACTGTATATTAGTTTTTGATGTTTATTGTTATTTGGTTTAACTTTATTACTTACTTATAATAGGTTTACTTTACAACTTTATATACTAAGACAAAGTTAACAATAATCCTCATACCGGGTACCGCATTGTTTTCTTGATTTTCAGAATTCATAACTTTTTTTCTGTCACCCCTCCATTACCCCCCAAAAATGGTTAAATTACTCCCAGAGGGTAATTTACCCCCAGTTTGGGAACCACTGCTCTACAGCATCCAGGACCTTGTCATAGTGATCCAGTAGCTGAGACGGGCAGGAGCAACCTACTCTAAACCTGTGTTGCCCTGGGTTGTGTAACTGATGGGTATCTAGGTAGTTGGCGATCTTGCTTCTTAGAACCCTATCAAAGATTTTTATGATATGGGATGTTAGAGCTATTGGTCTGTAGTTCTTTGTAATTGCTTTGCTGCCACCTTTGTAGAGTGGGGCTATGCCTGTTGTTTTTAGTGAGTGAGTGAGTGAGGACCCGTGTCCATGCTCCCTCTCCATAGAATGCTGAAGGCATGCGACAGGGGCATCTTGCAGTTCTTGATGAACACAGAGTTCCATGAGTCTGGAACTGGGGCAGAGTGCATGGGCTTTTCAAAGTCTTGTGGTGTTAAGATAATATCCAAGATTTTTGGGATGACCGAATTTTGGGTCTCGTTCATAAAGAATTCATTTGGATTGTCGACCCTTAGTCTGGGCAGCGGCACTCTGAACACTGAGTCATATTGGAATTTTAGTATCTCACTCATTTCTTGGCTGTCATCTGTGTATGTCCCATCTCGCCTAAGCAGGGGTCCAAGTTATTATATAACCTTAAATGTGAGTCTGAATCCAGCTGAGCTGATGTTTCAAAAATAAATGTGTCACTGTTGAATTATGATACAATGTACAGTAGTCCCTTTGTATGCAAAAGTATGTTCTAATGATAAATCATTTTCTTAAAAGTCTGTAGGTCCAGGTTGTGTTTTTCACACATTAGACAGAGGACTGAACTGTTGTCAAACACTAGAGTACTAACTGCCATTTATCTTTGTGACTACCCAGTGTTTATCTGTCAGGAGTTACTGACAAATAACCTCATGTGAGTCTTAATCATATAATGACTTGCTGAGTGGCTCAAAAGTGCCTTTTGTATACTGCAATTGTTGATGTGAGGGATCTTCGGCACGAAAAGTCCACTCAGTGGTCTTGTAATAAGCAATGTGGACTGACCTTGCTTATGTCCTGCACTGACTGCCCACACAGACTTCTGCACATGAGCATATCACACATTAACTAACAATATTACTAGTACACCATGATCATTTGAACTGTGATGTCAGCAAACTTCTAGCAAGACAATGATTGAATGAGTGACTGTGAAAGAGTTTCTTCTTTTTTGGGGTCAACCTACCTCAGTGGGAGATAGATGATGTGTTAAAAAAAATCATGTATTTGTGAAATTTTATTCAAATACAGCAAATTACTGATTCTATTATGGAAAAAGTATCAGATATATAGGTATGCTAATCACATTAAAACAGCTCAACATTCTGTGGAAATATTGATAGATTTCCATGATAACAGAAATCATAATGGTGAATTGACTTAAGGATAAGATAAAGGTTTGTTTGGATTTTTAACCCAGAAGGTTAGCCACCAGGATAACCCAAGAAAGGCAGTGCACCATTGAGGACTGTCTGTCTTATTTCCACTGGAGTCCTTCAATCTTGTCCCCCTAGGATGCAACCCACACCAGTCGACTAACTCCCAGGTACCTACTTACTGCTAGGTGAATAGAAACAGTAGGTGTAAAGGAAACATGCCATGCACTGAGTGCCCATGGTTTCAATCCCTGGCCGGGGATTGAAACCACGGACACTGTGTGTGTGAAGCAAAATGACTCACAAAATCGTAGTAACATGACTCTAAACAAAACCACCCTTTCCATGGTTTGTGAAGCAAGTGCATTGCCTACCAAGCCACAGGACACCAGGTAAAAGAACACAAAACAAAACTGACAACTGCAAAATCCACAGATACTGAGGGGTACAGTACATAAAGTAAGGTAAAAAAAAAAATTTTTTTTATTATATAAGATGAACATTATAATAAGACTTACTGTCTAAGGTCTGCCACCTGCTCCACATTTCCAATGACAAACTTGTGTTTTGTAGATAAATGATGCAGAATTGGCTGCTCATCTTCCATTACATTGAATATTTCATCACAGAATATACAGGGAACAGCATCATCACAGTCCAAATTTAAGTCAAGAGAAGCAAAATCTGAGCCATAGCCATTCTGGGCTGACTGTGATTCCTGAAAGTTAAGAGTATAAGATTACCACACTATAATAACCTTACCTAGTTACTATATGTTTAATACTATATATAAAAAGTTACTTATAGTTTTTATAATATAGCAGCCAAGATTTTTTGTTAAAAAAAGTTCCTTAGTTTAAAATATCACCAAATAGCAGATAGATAAGTAGTACATAAAATATCAAGTAGATTGCAGTAAAAAATATCAGGGGCCCTTTATCTTAACTTAAGATGACAATGGCAATAATTATTTGCTTATGCTATATATAAATACAATAAAGATAAACAAAGAACAAATTTAAGCAATACAAATAAAACAAATAGGCAGACAATTATTAATATAAAGCTGAATTATGATTACAAGTAATGAGAGTAAGAATCTGTAGTTTTTAACCCTTTCAGGGTTGAGAGGCCCTCTCCTAAACTTGTTCTCAGGGTCGAAAATTTTTCAGAAAAAAAAAATTATTTTTCTTATGAAATGATAGAGAATCTTTTCCCAATCATAATGACACCAAAAGTATGAAATTTGATGTAAAATTTACAGAATTATGCTCTCACGAAGTTAGCGGTCTTGCCAATGTTTACGCATCGACGGTTCCGCCCACTTTGAGCCCTATTTTTGGCCAATTCCTGTGTACTAGTCGACAAAACTCATATTTATTTTGCTAGAACTCCATTTTTTAAATAACAAAAAAAGGCACAATATCGTGACTGAAACGATACACAAATAACCTGCACATAGAAGAGAGGCAAAAAAGCTCCTCCATTTTTTCTGTCGAATGAGTACCAGAAACCACCCATTTACCAATTTCAACTATCCAATAAAGTGGTCAAAATTTATCAATTTTGCCAATTTCACACAAATTTCAAAAGATGCCAATTTCCAAATAGGGTCCAAAATAAATAAGAAAGACATTCCTGGCACTAAAATAACAAGTTTTCTGTTCGTTAGTCACGTCCCCAAGCCCCTCTTATATTTCTTTTGCTTTCCACTTTGAATTTTTATTCTTACAAAAAATAGAAGATTTACTGTTATGTAGACTACTGCATTAGTGTAGAAATGGTATAAATAATATCAGCGCACTTGTGTAAGAATATTAAACTCACTAGTTGACGTGTATTGGACACTTGGCATGATTTGTTTACTTTTGAACTTTGGTAAAAATCGAACATTTCTGCTACTTTGAGCTCAATTTCAAGGTACTTTTCATTGTGAAACCAGTCAAAATCATCTCAATTTCTGTAATATGTCTTCCATTCTATAAAATGAGACCAGGAAAACTAGAATACAACCATAAATACAATATGAAAATACAGTGCAAAGTCACTATTTAAATCCAAAAACATGGTCAAAGTTTTTTTTTCTCATTACGCACTGTGTACTGCAGGATTTTTTTTTATACTGCGCACAGTGACCACATAGACCCATTATTTCATATGTAGGCCTACCAGCTTTCTCTCGCTAGATTTGAAGGCGCTAGAATTTAGGCGTACTAGTACGTCAATAACCCTGGTGCGTAAGCCATACTAGTACATTCGAAAACCCTGAAAGGGTTAATACCGTGGAACCTCCCTCCAACCTTTTCTAGGTTGGAGGGAGGGGGTAAACGAGGTTTTGTGTGTGAGGGGCATGGACTTCCAGCGGGCATGCGTGAGCGTGTTTGATAGGAGTGAATGGAGACAAATGGTTTTTAACCCTTAAACGGTCCAAAAGTATATGTATATACGTTCACATGCGTAGCGCCCCAAACGTATATATACGTTTTCTTTGTCATTCATTCAACATTGGTGTGTGCACTCACTGTGCACCATATTAAAATAATTGGGGACACCTGGGTACCATATGCTCTTTTTTCCTATTAAAAAAAAAACAATATTTTTCTCTCAAAAAATTTGGGGCGCTCGCAAGTGAACGTATACAGTGGAACCTCGCCTAACGAATGCATAGCATAACGTTAAATCCGCCTAGCGATACATTTTAACGCAAAAATTTTGCCTCGGCTAGCGCTAAAAAACTCGCTCAACGCGGTTCGTTCGAGACGCGTCCACATGCAGCCTGAGCCCACCTCACTTGTTCCGTGGGTGCCAGTGTTTACAAGCCAGCCACTGCGGTCGCTTCCAAGCATACAATAGGAACATTTCATATTATCACTGCCTTTTTAGTGATTGCACCTGCAAAATAAGTCACCATGGGCCCCAAAAAAGTTTCTAGTGCTAGCCCTACAGCAAAAACAGTGAGAATTACTATGGATATGAAGAAAGAGATCATTGCTAAGTATGAAAGTGGAGTGCGTGTCTCCGAGCTGGCCAGGTTGTACACAAAACCCCAATCAACCATCGCTACTATTGTGGCAAAAAAAACGGCAATCAAGGAAGCTGTTCTTGCCAAAGGTGCAACTTTGTTTTTGAAACTGAGATCACAAGTGATAGGAGATGTTGAGAGACTGTTATTGGTGTGGATAAACGAAAAACAGATAGCAGGAGATAGCATCTCTCAAGCGATCATATGTGAAAAGGCTAGGAAGTTGCATGACGATTTAATTAGAAAAATGCCTGAAACTAGTGATGATGCGAGTGAATTTAAGGCCAGCAAAGGTTGGTTTGAGAGATTTAAGAATCGTAGTGGCATACATAGTGTGATAAGGCTATGGTGAGGCTGCCAGTTTGGACCACAAAGCGGCTGAAAAATATGTGCAGGAATTCAAGGAGTACATAGACAGTGAGGACTGAAACCTGAACAAGTGTTTAATTGTGACGAAACAGGCCTGTTTTGGAAGAAAATGCCAAACAGGACGTACATTACTCAGGAGGAAAAGGCACTACCAGGACATAAGCCTATGAAAGACAGGCTTACTCTGTTGATGTGTGCCAATGCTAGTGGTGATTGCAAAGTGAAGCTTTTATTGGTGTATCACTCTGAAACTCCCAGAGTGTTCAGAAAAAACAATGTCCTCAAAGCTAATTTGTGTGTGCTGTGGAGGGCAAACAGTAAGGCATGGGTCATTAGGAACTTTTTCTATGACTGATTACACCATGCATTTGCCCCCACTGTGAAAAATTACCTAATTGAAAAGAAATTAGACCTTAAGTGCCTCCTGGTATTAGACAATGCTCCTGGTCATCCTTCAGACGTGGCAGAGCGACTTTCTGCGGAAATGAGTTTCATTAAGGTCAAGTTTTTGCCTCCTAATACCACTCCTCTCCTGCAGCCCATGGACCAGCAGGCCATTTCCAACTCAAGAAACTGTACACAAAAGCTATGTTTGAAAGGTGCTTTGTAGTGACCTCAGAAACTCAATTGACTCTAAGAAAGTTTTGGAGAGATCACTTTAGCATCCTCAATTGTGTAAACATTATAGGTAAGGCTTGGGAGGAAGTGACTAAGAGGACCTTGAACTCTGCTTGGAAGAAACTGTGGCCAGAATGTGTAGACAAAAGGGATTTTGAAGGGTTTGACGCTAACCCTGGGAATCCTATGCCAGTTGAGGAATCCATTGTGGCATTGGGGAAGTCTTTGGGGTTGGAGGTTAATGGGGAGGATGTGGAAGAGTTGGTGGAGGAGGACAATGAAGAACTAACCACTGATGAGCTGCTAGATCATCTTCAACAGCAAGAGGCCACACCTGAGGAAACTGCTTCAGAGGAGGGGAGAGAGAACATTGAGGAAGTTGCCTACTTCAAAGATTAAGGAAATGTGTGCAATGTGGCTTAAAGTGCAAACCTTTTTTGATGAAAATCACCCTCACGCAGCTATTGCAAGCCGTGTTGGCAACCTGTACACTGACAATGTTGTAAAACACTTTAGGAATGTCATAAAGGAACGGGGGGTACAAGCCTCTATGGACAGATATGTTGTGCGACAGAGGTCCAGTGACTCCAAGCTGACCCTAGTGGCATTAAAAGAAAGAAGGGAAGTAACCCCGGAAAAGGACTTGCCACCTAAAGTCCTAATGGAAGGGGATTCCCTTTTTAAAAAAAACACTAACACCATCAACACTCTCCCCTCCTCCCATCCCCTCAATCATCACCAGATCTTCAATAAAGGTAAGTGTCATAAACTGTGCATGTCTTCTTCAGTTTGTGTGTATTAAAATTAATATTTCATGTGGTAAAAAAATTTTTTTGTTTTATACTTCGGGGTGCCAGGAATGGATTTAAATTTTATTTCCATTATTTCTTATGGGGAAAATTAATTCGCCTAACTATAATTTCGCCTAACGTTGAGCTCTCAGGAACGAATTAATAGCGTTAGGCGAGGGTCCACTGTATATACGTTTGGATCGTTTAAGGGTTAATACTTGACTGTTGGAGTGTGAGCAAAGTAACATTTATGAAAGGATTCAAGGGAACCGGTAGGCCAGACTTCAGATCTGGAGATGGGAAGTATAGTGCCTGCACTCTGAAGGAGGGATGTTAATGTTGCAGTTTTATAAACTGTAGTGTAAAGCACCCTTCTGGCAAGACAGTGATGGAGTGAATGATAGTGAAAGTTTTTCTTTTTCGGGCCACCCTGCCTTGGTGGGAATCGGTCAATGTGTTAATAAATAAATAAATAAACCTCATTATATGACCAGCTCCCTACTCGAACAAAGCTCAGCGCTCGACCAAATAAACACTACCTGCCAGAACTTCGCTGTAAACTATTTTGTGCTTCTTTGCATTTTTTTTTTTTTTTTTGTATTATTTGTATAAATAAGTCACCATGGGGCCTACGACAATTAGTGATAACAGCCAACCAAACAGAAGAGTGGTGGGGAAGAACTTATTTGATACTCAAATGGAGCGGCACTCGGACAGCGTTCTGGAATGAATTAAGGTCGCATACCAAGGTTCCACTGTATATTTATGGCTGAAAGAATTGTTTAGACTATCATCATCATATTTAACTGTTGTCCGGATATATTAGGGAGAGGTTTTTTTATAGTAGCTTTGAAGCTGCTGGCAGATAGAGGCTCTGGAGATTTCAGGTAGGGAGTTCCAAATTTTGGGTCCTTTATG